TGTATCACAGAGTGCGGAGGACAGCAGTGTAACGCAGAGTGCGGATGACAGCAATGTAACGCAAAGTGCGGATGACAGCAATGTAACGCAAAGTGCGGATGACAGCAATGTAACGCAAAGTGCGGAGGACAGCAATTTAGCGCAAAGTGCGGAGGACAGCAATGTAACGCAAAGTGCGGAGGACAGCAATGTAACGCAGAGTGCGGAGGACAGCAGTGTAACGCATGGTGCAGAGGACAGCAGTGTAACGCAAAATGCAGAGGACAGCAGTGTAATGCAGAATGCGGATGACAGCAATGTAACGCAAAGTGCGGATGACAGCAGTGTAACAGAGTGCGAAGGACAGCAGTGTAACGCAGAGTGCGGATGACAGCAATGTAACGCAAAGTGCGGATCAGAGCAATGTAACGCAAAGTGCGGATGACAGCAATGTAATGCAAAGTGAGGATGACAGCAATGTAACGCAAAGTGCGGATGACAGCAATGTAACGCAAAGTGCGGAGGACAGCAATTTAGCGCGAAGTGCGGAGGACAGCAATGTAACGCAAAGTGCGGAGGACAGCAATGTAACGCAGAGTGCGGAGGACAGCAGTGTAACGCAGAGTGCGGAGGACAGCAGTGTAATGCAAAGTGCGGATGACAACGGTGTAAGATGGAAAGGGACTTACAGTTTTGATGTACTAGATCATGTGCTCTGTCATGCCCTCTTCTTCCTCTCCGGGTGGTGGGTGGTTGTTGGGGGGAGGGAAAAGATGTTTCTCCCATGTGAAGCCCCAAGCAGCCTTGATGCGTCTTCTCTGTCCCTACTCTGCTAAAATACATGAGCAGCCAATGGCAGTGCTGCACTCTCCCTCTTAGCCAATAGCAGCTGGGGTGGGCGGAGGAAGATACAAGTGGTTGCCGACTGCCGAGGAGCCCGCACAGCAGGGGTCTCAAACTCAATTTAGTCGGAGGCCACTGGACACATTTTCTAGTCCCATGGGGGCCGCTACTATATACGGTACCAGTGTTAATGTCTGCATATGTTACAAGCGGCAACTGTCACCCATTCAAATTAGTGATCAGGTGACAGCTGCTGTATGTAAACTAGGGATGCACAGATACTTTTCGAGTACCAATGCCGATACTTGGCATTTTCAGGAGAACTACCAGGGTTGCAGAAGTTGCAGCTGGGACCTGGCTCTGGCGCTCCACCACTGTCCTGAAATCATTAGTCTGTATTGTTTTAGAAAAAAACGGTCACATGACAATAAACAAAAATGTATCAGTACTCATACTTGTAAGTACTCGGCAAGTACCAGTACTCATACTCGCAAAACTGGTATCTGTGCATCCCTTTATTTATAGTTATGAAAACAAAATCATACATTAAAACAGAGATGTACTAATCCCAGGAGCTCCGTATGCTCCTTACAAATGACGGCTGCCTCCTCATTTTTGAATTTTTCTCTAGTGTAGTCTTGGAGCTCAAAGGTATCGGTACATGTACTCGTACTTGTACAGAGAGCTGTACTTGGTATCTGTGCAACCCTAATGTAAACGCCTGCACACCGCATGTAATCGTACAGTATGTGAAAGGATTACATGTTAGGAATCTGTCACTATCCCTGGTTACACAATTGTGTATCCAGTGATTGTGATTGTTTTTGTAACAACATGTAATCATATCACATACAATTACATGCGGTAAGCAGGCGTGTACATGCAGCGGCTGTCCCCCGATCATTAACTTGAATGGGTGACAGTTGCTGCATGTAAATGCCAGATTAGGGATTCCTGCTGCAGGAAAACGCAAGTTTGTGACACAGGAATCCCTAATGGCACCTGAAATATAGATGTGAATGGGGCCTAATATACACACAGAAAAAGACAACCCCCCCACACTAATACACCCCCCCTTCACAAATAAAATAATACACTCCCTCCACACACATAATACACTTCGCCCCCCCACAGTGTGGACGGGTGCACAGAGTGGGTGGCAGTGTGGGCGTGGGCACAGAGTGGGTGGCAGTGTGGGCGGGTGCACAGAGTGGGTGGCATTGTGGGCGGGTGCACAGAGTGAGTGGGCAGTGTGAATGCACAGCATCTCACCTCTCTTTCTCTGGCCAATTCTAAGTGCTTGTTCACACCATATACCCTTGGTTCTCAACTAGTGGGTCGTGACCCAAAAGTGGGTCGCGGCCCTGTGTTCAGTGGGTCTCCACATGCCTTCTACTTTTCTAGGCGAGAGGCTCCTCAGCCTCCCCCTAGAGCAGTACTGACCATTCTCACACGGAGCAGCCATCCAAAATATGCTGCCCAGCGCAGAGTGTCGACTTGAGGTGTTGTGGGATGGGGGTATGGCCGCCAGGGAGCTTTATCCATACATGCATTGCTTACAGCTCCCTTGCATGTCCTGTAGAGGTGCCTGGACTGGAGTGACATCACATTCTGGCTCCTGACACCTCTACAGATGCGCATGGGAGCTGTACAAGCAATGCACATATGGATGGGGCTCCATCACAGCAGCCCACACTGCCGTGCATTCAATTGCAGTGCGATTTGGGTCGCGACTTAATGACCGAGGACAAATATGGGTCTTGAGGTTACACAGGTTGAGAACCACTGCCATATACAGTGCGTTCCAGTGCGGTTAGCTACTGGAACGCACTGTATTGCATAGTAAACTCCCCCCTGTGTTCTGATGCATGCACCATTTTTTATGATCGCACTGGACCGCAACACAGGCACTAATGTGCCACTGCGGGCAGGGGGGCGTGGTGGCGGTGCCATTGACTTTAATGCACTACCACACCCCTTCCTGTTCCAGGACGCACAGGGGAGTTTACTATGCAATACAGTGCGTTCCGGCAGCTAACCGCACAGGAACGCACTGTATATGGTGTGAACAAGCCATAACCCTGCTTTCTCTACTCTGCAACTTTAGGAACTGACTCCCCCTGTATGCAAATTCCATAATTAGCATATGCTGGCCCGGCGCTACCGCAAGGCAAGTCAGGTTGCCGCCTTACAGCGCTGCAGGGTGAGGGCGGAAAAAACAGGGCATTTTGACAAGTACTCGTACTTGTCAAAACGCCCCGATGTTTGCGCTATGTTTTTTGTGGATCCTAATTTGTGGATCCTAATTTAGCTGGCCGACGACTGCCTGAGGATCCCGACACTCGCGGCACCTCAGGCAGTCGCCGGCCAGCATGACTGGGGAGAGGATTGCAGGTTCAGTGTCCTTAGGTTCCGTGCAACGTTTCAGTGACCTTAGGTCCCGTGCGACGGTGCAGTTTTTGACTTGTGGCCGCACGGAAATGAAGGACCCCTAAACCTCCCTTCTGCTCCCACCCCTGCCCCCCTTCTGGTGTGGGCCCCATAGGCTGGTAGTTACGCCACTGGCCAACACACAAAGTGATACATGATACCCTGTTTGCTTGCATAAAAGTATTTGTAATCTAAATGTCTATTTATGCTTTTTCAGACTAAAGTGAATATATGGGCACTGTTGACTTTATTTTTTCTTGTTTCTCTGTGTTACTATTTTATATTTATGTTCGTTTATACTGATTTTGAAAATCAAAGAATTTATAAAAAAACGACATACACAGGGGTATTGTTTTTATTTTAATTTTATCTTTAGTTAGGGTCCAAGGTACCCTGTTTTCCTGCCCAATGTCATGGGTCAGGTAATAATTGCTACTTATGCTATCCCCTACTATACCTGAACTGGAGCTAATGACTGCATTATATGGTGTTCAACCCTGGAGATGACAATTGTATCAAGTAAAGCTTTCCATAGAGCATCTGGTAGATCGGTGTAAAAACTCAGAGATGCATTGTTAGTAAAATAAACTAGTTCTTTATTGCACTTTAATCATAACTTTTTGAAATGACACTGGTATATAGGAATTTAATTACAGTTATAAAATCTTAATTAAATAAAAAAAAAAGAGAATTAAGTATAAATTCCTTTTTTAATGTTAGTCAATGTACTGTGATAGCCAACGGAATCCTTCCCCATAGCCTTGTCTCTTCAATATGCTGCACATAAACACTTCAATAGGTCTGGAGTTTAGCTGCTTCTGCGGTACTTTCCCCTGAGAATGAGAACGGTCCATTTTACAATATGAAAATGTAATACATAATGATATAATCATTTCTAATAGGCAATCCTTGTAGACTTTTTAAGGGAATGTATACAGTTTTTTTATTAAATGTATATTTATAAACTGAATCAAAACTTAACCGTGACCACTAGGTCCACCTTCTCATAATGCATTGCCTTAAAGTGACATTAAAGTAAAAAATGTTTTTCCCTCCCCCCAATGTTAATGTCAGCACTTACCTTAAATGAGGTTTCTTAATCCGATCTTCTTTCTTGTCCTTTTAATCTGTCCCTCCAGCGCTGCGGCGAGTCTCCGATCCAGCGCTGACTCCTCTGGGCTTGCTGGCACTTCCTGTCCTACGGTGTCTGCATGCGGGTGCACGCGTCCATAGGCTTACCTTGTGTCTCTCCTCGCGTCCCGGCCAAAAATGTGATCTTCGCATGCGCCCGCCCCAAGATGCTTTGCGGACGCCCCAAGAGATTTTTCACATTTTCGGACGGGAGCGCGCGGGGAAGATACGGGTAAGTATTAACCCTTTTCAAATCATTTTTTTAAAACACTTTTTGCATATACCTACTGCTTGCTAGCAGTAGATATATGCAAACACCCAAGGCTTTAATTATCCTTTAATGCTCCCGCATTAGGGCAACATGCTTCCATTTGTTAAGGTGTGCTTAACAGTCCTTTTAAAATGAATGCAGCCTATTCATTTTAAAAGGACTGGCACCACACCTTAACCTAGAAAATTCTAACTGACTTTTTTTTTTTTTTTAATGCAGTACATGGTACATATGTTGTGGTTCACTGAAGAGTAGGTGTGTTGCTTACTACTCTAACAGTATGATTGATTGCCATGCAAAATGAATAGCATTGCACCGCAATCATAAAGCACAATTCTGAATGGGTCTTTTAAAAAAAAAAATTCCTTCAAAGGGGCAGTGCAAAGAGCTTCATGACTATACTGACAGGTATAGGAATGTCTATAACTCGTCCACGCCATCTGGGGACGATAGTGCTGTGTGAACGGCATCCACCTGGCTATTCGCCGGGCAGAAGTTTTATAAATTAAGCTGTACAGTGTATGTGTGTTGTGCAATAATCAATGACAAGCAATCTAGTACAAGAACAGCACAATGACTGTTCGTTATTGTACTCTTTTGGAAGTTCAATATAAGGCGATGTCAATAGATGTGCATGTTAAAGTAAATATTTCTTAGGTGGCTTATCCTGTAATCGTTATTCCCATTGCAGCCTTTCAGCAACTGGCTACTTAGAGAATGTGACATGAATCCAGCAGGCAGATAGAGATAGCAAAATATGTATTACACCAAGCCTATAGGAAATGTTACCTTTTGGTAAAAAAAAAAATATATATTTCTCCAACATGCTTTCAAAAGGCTTTTCAGAACTCCTGATTCTATGCAGCTTATCTGATATAGGACCAGAGATTTTTCAGTACATACAACAGAATAACATTTTGATTACAGGGCAATACCTTCCCTGTAGTATGCCCGTAAAGTCCGAATGTGTGCAGTAGCCTTTCTTCACTGATGGCTTCTGGTCTATCAATCTTGTTGCCAAGCAGCAGGACTGGAACACTGGCAATGGTTTCATCTGCAAGTAGAGCCTAAAGCACAAAGAATAATGCTTGTTATTTTTTTTTTCCAAAACATTGGTGTGTTCAGTATCCTTTGCGGAAATTTTCCAAATTAGAGGGTAAAGTAATGCTTATATTTCGCCTGTTTTAAATAAAGCTGTATCCACACCTTTGCATTATGGTGCAATTTTTGACTGATGCCTTATTTCGAATCAATTGAAATGCATCACACCACAAGTAAACACATGTTGCAGTGAATTTTAACACTTATTGTAATGCTTTTTTCAGTGCATGTCAACTTGCAATATGTTGGAAGTCAAGACACAGCAAAACACCAAGCAAGCAATAAGCTCTATGCATAGTGTAGTAGATAGGGATTTATTATATAAGAATCAACAGTTGCACTCACTTACTGGAATGTTTAAACCATTGTAGATAAAAAAAAAGGAAGTCTTCAGTGGCCTACAGCAGCAAGTCTCGACACAGCGTGGGTCATCTGGAGTTACCAATGCATTTAAATCAGTCAGGGGCGGATCCAGAGTCTCGGGAGGGGCGCTTGCAGAAAAAAAGTCCCCCCACATCTGGCTCTGACACTGCTACTGTGCCCATCTCTATCCTCTCCCACCTCTGTTTCCACCCCCCCTGGCTCTTCCATTGCCACTGTGCGTATCCCTCTCCCACTGCCACCTCCGTGTCCACTGCCCCCCATCTGGCTCTTCCACTGCTACTGTTCCACCCCTTTCCTCTCCCCCCGCCTCTCTGTCCACTGCCCCCCCCCCAGCTCTCCCCCCGGGGTACAACGCACTCACCTGGCCTCTCCTTCTGGGATGTTTCCGCCACTGTCAGCCTTGGGCGGCCTGTACTCACACAAATTAGGCAGCTGAAAAGCCCCAGCGTGGGCTGAGATGGCCGCCTAATTTGCCTGAATACAGTGCAGCCTCTGCTTTGGGTCCTGATTGTTCGGTTCAGCCGTGCCCAGCAGAGCGGCAGAGGGTGGGAGCGATAATTTTGTCGTGGGGGTGGGGGGTTATGGTGGTATCCCCGGATCCGCCGCTGCAGCTTTGTATAATGTATTGCTGGAATTCAGTGGCGTAACTAGAACCTTCAGCTCCCCGATGCAAGAAACTATGAACCCCATGGCACTGTGTGGTTAACAGGAAGGCTGCCGAGGTCCCCAGCAAGCGCGGGACCTCCGGCAGCAGCTTCAGTTTAAACATTTTGTGCCGGTGTTCTGTCAAGAACGCCGACCCAGTATCTGCGTTTGCTCACAGATGAGATTAACGAGGAAACCGGCATTTATTTACAAAGTATTTGTTAGTAATTATTAATTGTGTCCGTTAATATGCCATCCATAGCAGTAAATGATGGATGGAATATTATTAACAGTCACAATTAACGATTTAAACTAAATACTTTGTAAATAAATGCCTGTTTCCTCGATAATATTGGTCTGTGCGCAAGAACAGATGCTGAGGTCGGCAAATTCGACTACGTCGGCAATCTCGTCAGAACACCGGTATCTACGTTTAGTATCGGGGCATTTTCACGATTATGCGCAAAATGCCCAGTATTGGCACTGACTGCATACCTACTTAAAAATATAATGCATTGCTGGGACTTGTAGTCCTGCATAGGTGGTGCTATTCTGCATTGCTGTATAATTACAGCAATACATTATAATAAAAAATCAGCAAAGCAGAATATAGAATACAGATGTCACCAGCACACCAGCACGATGGGACTCTCAAATCAGTGCAAATCAATTTATTAATAGATACCACTCAGAATATGATATTGAATATTGATATATGAATATTGATATTCTGAGTGGTATCTATTACTAAATGGATTTGAACTGATTTGAGAGTCTCATCGTGCTGGTGTCATCTGTATTCAAAAGTTGTTCCATGTGCGGCGCCATCCGTGGTCACTTCGAGCACCCTTCAATGTCTTACGATTTCCGGTAAGGAGTGCCACAGGATTCATGGATATTTGCCCTTCCCGGTCCAGACTTACCCGACTCTCATGCAGGACCCTCTTCCGTGTCTCGGCGGCCAGGGGGCGGGGCTAGGTGGAGAGGGTCCTCACACAGCAGAATGTGCTGCCTGGCAGTGCCTGCAGCACATTCTGCTGGACTAGTGACAGTCTCTCCAGCCCCGCCGCACAGCCGCCCGTACACGGGTGGCAGAGCAGCGGGAAAGGAGTGGCACTATCTCGGGGGGGGGGGCTTTTCTTCCTCTCTGGGCCCCCCCCCCAACAGGCAGAACGCCAGGGCCCAGTCGCAATTGTGACCGCTGGGACCCTGGTAGTTCCGCCAGTGCTGGAATTTCTAGTCCTGTATAGCTGGTGGTATCCTGCATTCCGGTATAATCATTGTACCGGAATGCAGAATGCCACCAGCTATACATTTTACATAAAGTCAGCATACCCCCAGCCACAGTCTCCCAATCCCCCCTCCCCCGGACCAGCCATTACCCATAGACCACCCTGGCTCACCTAACTCCTGCAGAACCTCTTTCTCCCGAGTCCTTGGCGGCCAGTGGAGGGGAGGAGCGCAGGAGAGGGTCCTCACAATGACCCCAACAGCAGCATGTGGTTGCCTGGCGGTGCCTGTAGTCTATACAGGTTCCGTCAGGCTAAACACTCCTTACCAGAGGCGGCTCTTTAATTAGACAAATTAGGCGGTCGCCTTAGGCCTCACGCTCCCGAGGGCCTCGCAGCCGCCTAATTAGCCCTGCCGGCACATTACCTTGTAGCCATGTAACGTTATGAGCTCTCAGCCCTGTCGCTGTCAAACTGAGACTCTCAGTTTGACAGCGACAGGGCTGAGAGCTCATCCATTTTTTTGTTCCGTCCATTTGACCGGTGGACTTCTGGAGCTCCGCCCACCAACCAATGGGAAGAGATCTCTCCCATCCAACGCGCAAGGATCCCAATCTGGCTGGGAGGGAGTTTCGTCAGGTGCAAATGGACGTAGACATAGTCAGCAACGGCTGGTCCTGCACGCTCCCGCCCGCGAGATGCTCCCTGCACAGTCCTGGTGAGAGACAGCCTTCACAAGCTACAGCATAGGTGAGAGCCTTGTGGAGACCCTAGAGAGCCCTGGTTTGACCAGGGCTCTGTGGGGTCTCACCAGCTGTCTGTGGGGTCTAACTAGGCTGGTTAGATCCCAAAGAGCCCTGGTGAGACCCCCTCAGAGCCCTGGTGAGTCCCCAGAGAGCCTTGGTGAGACCCCACAAAGCCATGGTGAGAGCCCATGGAGCCCTGGTGAGAGCCCTGGTGAGACCAGGGCGATGTGGGGGTCTCAGCAGGGGACTGTGGGGTCTACAAAGGCTCGTTAGATCCCTCAGAGCCCTGGTGAGACCCCACAAAGCCATGGTGGGAGCCCTACGGAGCCCTGGTGCTTTGAGACACCCACATTGCCCTGACAAGACCCCATGGAGATCAGGGCTCTGTGGGGTCTCACCAGGGCTCTGTGGGGTCTCACCAGGGCTCTGTGGGGTCTCACCATGGCTCTGTGGGTCTAAGAAGGCTGATTAGACCCCACAGCGCCCTGGTGAGACCTCACAGAGCTCTGCTACCCAGGTGAGGCCCCCTCAAAGCCCTGGTGAGAACCCACAGAGCCCTGTGGGGTCTCACTAGGGCTCTGTGGCGTCTCACCAGGGCTCTGTGGCGTCTCACCAGGGCTCTTTGGTGTCTCACCAGGGCCCTTTGGTGTCTCACCAGGCTGGTGAAACCGCACAGAGCCCTGGTGCAACCCTACAGAGCCCTGGTGCTGGTGAGACCCTACAGAGCCCTGGTGAGACCAGGGCGATGTGGGGTCTCACCAGGGCTCTCACCTGTGGACTGTGGGGTCTCACCAGTGGACTGTGGAGTCTACAAAGGCTTGTTAGATCCCTGGTGAGACCCCACAGAGCCCTGGTAGCACGGCTCTGAGGGGTCTAACCAGGCTGGTGAGACCCCACAAAGCCATGGAGGGAGCCCTGGGGAGACCCTACGGAGCCCTGGTGCTGGGGAGACCCTATGGAGCCCTGGTGCTGGTGAGGCAACACAGAGCCCTGGGGAGACCAGGGCTCTGTGGGGTCTCACTAGGGCTCTGTGGGGTCTCACTAGGGCTCTGTGGGGTCTCACTAGGGCTCTGTGGGGTCTCCCCAGGGCTCTGTGGGGTCTCACCAGGGCTCTGTGGGGTCTCACCAGGGCTCTGTGGGGTCTCACCAGGGGCTCTTTGGTGTCTCACCAGGGCCCTGAGGGGTCTCACCAGGCTGGTGAAACCGCACATAGCCATGGTGGGACCCCCACAGAACCTTGCGGAGACCCTACAGAGCCCTGGTGCTGGTGCGACCCTACAGAGCCCTGGTGAGACCAGGGCGATGTGGGGTCTTACCAGGGCTCTCACTTGTGGACTATGGGGTCTCACCAGTGGACTGTGGGGTCTACAAAGGCTGGT